ACGTACGTACGTACGTACGTACGTACGTACATACACACATCATCAAAAAAATTGGCTAGCATGCTACTAATATGTTAAAACGTGGAAATATAATGAAAATTCCGATTTCACTTTTCGACCCAATTACAATAACTTCCTAATGGGAAGTTAAAAATACTTTTTATATAATCAAATTGATCCAGCAGTAACTCAAGATACGAGTAAGATACGTAACAAAATACAATTAAAATATTGGAGCAGCAAAAAACATCAGACGAAGATAACAGGCTATACGCAATGTATGAATAATAATGTTCGTGTGCAAAATGTGTACTATATTAGTAAATGCACATTATTATAGAATAGTAAAATAATATCTTTTATTTCTCTCCATTTAACGACCACTCTTTATAACGCCGAAAAATGTTCAGACCCTTAAGTGTCGTTATATAGAGTTTACACTGCTATTCAAGCTAGAAATACATATAGCATTCACTTCTCTATTTTCCGGGATGATCGTTAGTCAAACAAATTCTAAAAGTTTATGCATATACTGTGGATTTCTAAATTGTATTAACTATAATTTAAACAATTTAGTTTGGTTTTAATTAAAACCTTTGTTGACCGATGTGTAAACGCATGGAATTGTTGTAATGTCTAATTATATAATATATTATTTGCCGGCATTAATATTAATTTAACGTACAACGTAAACTATTCAGGTTGCATGAAATTGAGCATTTATTCTAAAATTGTATTGTATTTACTTTAGGTTAACCATAAATGCCGCGCGTGGCTACCTAATATTCAAACTTTATCCGAAAGTATGTATCTACTGTATTTACTTTACGTGCTATTACGTAAAACAAACTGGAAACAAAGTAAATTTATAAATTGTTTATTCTGTTATTAACTATTTATCTGTTGATCCTTAAATTACGCATATAAATTTTGAAAATATTCACCAATCAAAAAAGAATATCATTTTATGCTGTAGCATTTGCATTTTGTTGTTTTAAGTAACTGATCTAAGTCGTTGTGACACAATTATATGTAATGTATATCATATATATTCTCTATTTAATAAGATTACGCCGTAAAGATGATGTCATGACCCAGCAATTAACACGTAAACCTGCCTGCTTGCACCTTACTCTTGAAGGGTTTCATGCAACTGCGTCTATCCACTGAAAATCTAATTAATACTTTTTTACATCAATACGAAGGATAGTATCGGAAAATCGTAGTAAGGTTTTTATATATAAGCCTTTGCATACAATAATCTATCGTATGGAATTCTAAAAATAAACAAATCAAACCGAAAGTAAATTACACCGTTCTCTATATCATTTATAAATAATAATCATGAAAAAATAGAGTAGGCAACCCAACATACATAGTGGGAGTATACTAGGTTTCTAGACGGCATATACTAGATCATTCTACGACACGGCCAGTCCCTATAAATAGTTGTAGCGAGATCGAGTGGTTAGTACCAATATGAGTTACGTGGTGATACAAAGCGAAGAAGAAAGAACGAAGTGATAAAGTGTTCATATAGTGGTGAATTGATAAATAATTAATAATAGAAGTGTTAATTAAGCAAACAGAACTATTTTTTACTGATAAGTAACATAATAAAAGTAAAGTTTAGTAATTAGAAACTCATTGTTTTCAAAAATCGATGTCGTCATATAAGAATATTGACTGTTAGAAAAAATGTACCTAGACATTACAGTTTTTAATTCCCTAGGGATATTGAAATAGAATTGTTTTATGGTTGTGTGATCGGGAATGATATGAATTCTAGCGTGTCGATCCTTTATTTAATGAATACCTACGCAAATTCATGAAAATATACTTTCTATTTTACTGGTTTTACTTAAGTAATATTCGAGGAATTCAATATTGCTTCGTAGCTCTGAAATCCCACATTGTTAAAATTAAATCCGACAAAATGCCATCGCTTTCATACATACCTAATAGGATTCAAGAGAGCAAAAGCAAGAGGAAGAGGCAGCAAACATGATAGGGTAGAGTAAGCCGACAAATAGGGTTGTTAAAGCTGTCGAAGTATTTACACTTCACATCATAACGTTTAATAATATATACGAAGAATGGAATTGGTGTACGGTTTTTATGAGGGGGTGAGAGATAGTAAAATCCAAACGAAAAGCGCGCCCTCCTGTTGACGTCGTCGGAGAATAACTGGAAGGGTCGCAAATGGAGATTCAATTCAAAAGAACCAATCGGTATAAAAACGTATTTTCTTCGACCAGAAAAAAGGAACACGTTCAAACATAAAACTTCCCATCGTTCACAACAGTACGAATATATATTGTGGTCAGAATTAAAGACGCTTTGACAAGTTCAGTTCACAAATTTTTTAATAAAATACATTCGAACATCAACAATTCGAAAATTGCTCGCGTAACATTTTATTGCCTCTTTTACTTGCTTTAATATTTTTTCATCTCTTATACACAAAATTATATAGCAGTATTACTATCTGGCAAGGAGGAGTTGGAGGTAGCCTCAAATAAAATAGTATCGATATCGACAACAGTAATAAATAAAATTAAAAATAGAATATTGATATGTAAGGGAAGAAAACGTACGAAAAGAGTGAATGCAAAGGTAGGAGACGAAAAATTGGAATCAGTCGCTGATTTTCGGTATCTATAAAAGTAAGAGATAATTCAGGTTGGGTGGAGTAGTATGAGAGACATAAAACAAACATTAGCGCAGGGTCTAGTCGCCTTTAACAAAAATAAAATACTTCTGTGCTCGCAAGCGATCTTTATATCTTGAGCATAACTCTGTACGGGTGCTAAATATGGACGGTGGAAAACAAAGGTTATAGAGAAGGTAAGAAGTGAGGAGTTATTTAAAAGAATAGGAAAAGGAGGATGTCTATAAGAAATATACGAGATAGGTTGGTAGGACACTTTCTAAAACATGAAGGACTAGCTAGACATATTAGAAGGAAAAACAGGAGTTAAAAGGAGTACATGTAGACCGAAATTAGATTACTGTTCACAAAGAGTTACTTAGATTAGATCGTGATAAGAAAGAATGGAGGTGCGTATCCAGCCACTCTTTTAGGACTGACGATATTATTAGTTAATATAGGTACCGAAAATGTTCGGTTGTTTTATCTCTTTAAGAACAACATTTTACTAATTTTAATGCTTACAATAAGCAGTGTAATACATTAGCTGATAATAAAATAAGAAATCAAACTACATATGGGGCAAAGGTTTTTTATTGCAAAGTTTTGCGGTAGTTGGACTTTCAGATTTTATAACTTAGAAACCTAACCCTGAAGATGCCTCGTAATTGAAACGAAACGTAGGTTGTTGGTCTCGTATAAATAAAAAACCTTTGCCTCATATGTAGCTTGATTTATTACTTTATACAGTTGTTGGGGAAGAAATGACAACAAAATCCGCTGATAATCACTAATCAAATTCGAATTATTATTAACGTTTCTGTTATTTATCTCCCATTACGCTAATAATGGTGACAATGCTCCCAAATGTCCAGGCCGAGTCGGGAAGGATTCTCCTAGTTTCTTGCCGTCTTCGTCCCTTCCTCTCATTCTCCCCTAACACTCGTCGAAACTTAAAAGTAATTACCCCTAAGTTGGATATCAATCGCTT